TCCCCTGTCATTTAAAAAACAGGTGGTGGATGAGACCAATTTGTCCAGACTTGGCTCTGAGTTATTCTTTCAGTGGGCTCAGTGTATCCTCAGAGAGACCCCGTTGGCTTTGTCCTGACAGACGGAGAGGAGAGAAGAGTGGCCACTGAAAGGCCACAGCTCCAATTACACACAGCCTCTCCTCCTTAAATGTCAAGCTACTTTGCATTACCCAAAGTGCAATGGCATTCAGTGGATATTAGCCCCAATCCAGCTGCATCTGTCACACTTTCATGTGGCTCCTCGGGCAAAACGTCAAGCATCCTGGTTTCCTTTTATCCTAATCTTCAACCCATCATGTCTGACTTTTTCACTTCACATTTCAAGGAGTTTTGGGAGTCAGTGATGACATTATAGCACAAAGTCAAATGAAATAAGAAATGTCCTTTAGGCAGCTTTTGTAATTGCCTCAGAGTGAAGATTCATGATCCTCCTTTTCAACGCCGTCGGCTCATTGGCTGCACCGCCACCCAAGGCCCTCAACTTTTCCCATCAGAGACTCCACAGGCTCGGCAATTTAGCTGCCTTGTTGATCATTAAGAGGGGAGATGTCAAGCTTCCTCTTTCTAATTAAACCATGATTAGAAAATTGCTCCAGCACAGACACATCAGAGAGGAAGCGACAGCACAGAAAAATGGAGCTGGTTGTTTCAGATTGTGCAGGTCCAGGTCTGCACACACATCCAAACAATGCTCTGTGTTTTCAGAGAAAATGTGTGTGAAGTTTGTTTGCACTCAGCTGGAGTGATCATTTCTGCTGGGTGAAAACATTCTCTCATACATCAATATTTGTTCACATCTCTGTGAAGTGCACTCACCCAATTCAGGTTCATTAACACATGCAGGCTGTGTGTGTTACGATGTGTGTGCATTCATATTTTACCTCCCTAAGCAAACAAAACACACAGCCAAGGATCAAATGAAACTGTTGTGAGTCTGCACAAGGCAATTCAAGGTGTGTTTGTGTGTGTGTGTGTGTGTGTGTGTGTGTGTGTGTGTGTGTGTGTGTGTGTGTGTGTGTGTGTGTGTGTGTGTGTGTTTACCAGAAGATCTGATCTCATCTGTGTTTATATACTATCTCCTCTAAAATATTTCAAGATTTTGTTTGAAGCAATTGGTCTAAGATGATGCTAAAGGCTCATTTATGCTCGCCATACGTATGAAAATGTACGCGTCCGTTTCAAACGATGGTTTCGTTAGTGCCCACATACTTTCATGCGTCCTTTACGTTGGCATGTATGTTAACCATTACATCCACCAGGGGGCAGGCCGGAGTCAAAAGTTTCTGACAACAACAAACAAAAAGAAACATGACGACTGTAGAGGAGCAAGTGATAATGTATATTTTGCATAGGAGACAGAAACAGCGTTGGAGGAGGTGGTGGTCGATCAGGCCACTAAATGCCTCACGGTTGGAGGACAGAGAATTCTTTTCTCTAGTCGTACCGATGAGATAAATTGACAACGATCCTCAAAAGCCCCGTCATTGTCTTCTTCGTTTCTTTCTGGAGATGCATATAGGGTAGTGACAGCAGCAACACTGCCTCCACGGTGTCCTCTGGCCTGTATCTGTAAACTTCAAGGATAGGTGCAGAAATATGGACGAGAAGAACACGAAGCATCGACGGAGATCTCCATCTGTATCCAGATCCATGTGTCATGTTGAGCATAAATGAGCCTTAACTGCTAATAGTTACAGTCGGCGTAGCAAAACCAAAAATCAAATCCAAGCCCCTTCTCTTTGTTTTCTTGCCTTTATCTTGCCCTGTAGCTTTTTTTTTTTAAAGTAAAGACTTTGCACTTTGACAATTAAACAAACAGATTTGAGTCCTCAGTAATTGCTGAAGTGCTGTATGTTTGCTTATTCTCAAACACCAGGATTGACTCTGGTCTGTCCTCTCTGAGTTCTCTGAAACCTGGCGTCACTCCCTCCACCACCAGCTGGGATGCAGAACAAAAATGAGAAAAGTTCCTCTGACTCCGTCCTCTGCTGTGAAAAAAGGAAGCTTTCTTCATTCCCACTCCTGCAAAACACAGCTCTAAACACAAATTCTGCAAAAGGTAAATCAGGGAGAAGACAAGTTTAGAGCTGAGTTTCCTCCTCTGCAGTAAGCCTCCACCCAGTTTAGTGTCTTTCAAGAAAAAACTGTTGTGTTGAATACACAACAAAACATTTTCAGCAGGGTTTTTTTTTGTATGTCTTCCTGTTCAGCATTTAGTTTAAGGTTTCTCAGAACAATCACATCATCCCTTCAGTCTTTTCATACTATACATCCACAGCCCGACTCCATCTCTGATCAAATATCTCATCCATTCTTTCTCTTGAACACATCAAATGTTTTTTTACTTTCACTGTCATTTCTGTCTCTTCTATTTCTGTACAGAAATCTGATTGGAAATCCTTGATGGGAGCAAGAAATACAAGGATTTTGTAACAGGTGTGGTTAGTGTCTGCATTGTGTTCCAGTGCGTAATGAGGACTCTGGACACATGACTGCATTCCGGGTCTTTTACTGTACACTGTACAAGAAAAGCAAAAACATTCATGAATTGTGCGTGTTCTTATGCATCATGGATCTCTCCTCTAGTGATATCGAGAATGTCTTTTTTCATAAAGTAAACAAAAATAGACAATTTTTGAGTAACTACGTTAAAACAAAAACATATATATATTAAGTGTAATGAAATTACTTAAAAGTTCAAAGTATAAAAATACACTTACCAGCTACAAAGTTTTACATCATAAAAACAGCATTATACTTCTCAACAACATGAAAAAACACAGCGTTGTGTGTTCGTTTCTGCATCATGGGTCTACCCTGAGAACAGAAAGGACAACACACTAACTAGAGGAGCTAATCTCAGCTTAGCTTCGTGACCAAACTCATGCACAGCTGATAATGAGGAACGTAAATATCTCAAAAACTGACTAAAAATGTTCAATATATTGCACAAGGTTAACCACTGCAGTTTGGCCTCTTAAGAGTGCAAAAGACAACTTTTATGCCATATCATATCGGTCATTTCAAGAACATATATGACCAGTGCGTGCAGACATCAGCCTATGTCACCATGGCAACACGCACACAGATTCTCAAAGGCACAGGCAGGATGACAACAGTTAACGGTATATTATGAAAGAAATGTTTTGGTGAAATTCATAAGCATTAAACCTGTAACCTGTTATAGGTTTAATTGAACAGTCTTTGTTGAATTTTTGGACAGTGACACAGCGAACACTGCACTTTGTCAGGGCCATGCACTTTCTCCTTTTTTCAGCCACTTCTCTACATTTGCCATCGTCAAGAGCAGGACAGATGCTGAGCCAGACTGAGAGTAAAGATGACCGTGATCTACGCAGACATCACAGTACTGTGTTTGGAAAGGAGGAAAGGTGCAAGTACTTCAACATGTTAAAAACAACTAATGAATTTGTCTGACTGAAATTGGATTGTAAAAAATACCCAGTAGCACATTAGTTTTATGTAAATCTCATCTATTCAAACTTCTCATAGTTGGACTAACATGTCTAGATAATGCAACTGGGGATGGATTGTCTCTACCAAGTATACAGCTCTATCAGGCTAGTACTGGCCTCAGTGTTCTGCACATGCACCAGGGTCCACACACTTTGACCAAAACCTGAATAATATAGATGTAAAGCTTGGAAGAGTGGTAGCAAACAAAACCAGGAGAGATGAAGAAAGGGCGTAAAAAAAGGCAAAGCTGTTGCATCATACAAAGCAAAGGCACAGAGCTGTGACAGTGACAGTGTTTACATCACTCAACGTACATCCTGTTAGCCTCTTGCTAACACATTCCCTATGTGATGACGTAGGTCAACCAGGAAATGACCCTGTAGCCATGACCTGAAAGGGGGCATGTGGCTTTTTAACCTTTGGATTTGAAGTACCAGTCCCAAGGTAAAACGGACTTTAGACTAAATGGACTGTTTTGCCTTTTCTCTTATCTTCTGACCACTCACACCATTATTCACACACTGATCACAGAAGCTGCCATGTAAAACATCGATCTGTAAATGATCCCATTTGCACATGACTGGGAGTAGGTTGGGGTTAAGCGTCTTGCACATGGATACTTATGCAGACAGCAGGACCTGTGATCAATCCCCCACCCTCTTGATTGAGAAATGACCAACTCTACCTCTCAAGCACAGTTGCCCCCTTGAGTACTGTGTATCCATTTGCATGGCAAAGACAGTGTGAAGATTGGTTTGCTGTCTCGAGTAGTGGTCACCAACCTTTTTAAGCCCAAGATCACCTACCTCAACTTTGGTGCGAGGCAAGATCTACCTATTGAAGTGCCGATAGAAAAAAAGCCAAATCGCGAGTTTATTGCCCTATTTCATATTTGTGTTGGTGTGCATTAATTCATTGTGGATTATACATGGTTTCATTGCATTTGCACAGGGCAAAACATGCAATTACAGGCTGACAAGCTGTGAATTACATGCTTTATCCAGTAGGTGACTCTACTTGTGCGTGAACACAATGTTCTTACACACATATGCCTTATGTTCACACACAGGCAGAGCCACCTACTGGACATATAGCATATAAATTGAAAAAAATTGTAATTGTCACACACAAAAATGAAAATAAAAATGGTCTGAAAAATGTTTGAGTGAATTGACATTCGGAATGTTTTCATAACAAAACATAACTAGCCAACCATAAGCATTTTATAAAAATACAAAAGAAAAGACAGAGAAAAGAACTCTCTTAAGCAAGTCCTTTTATTGCAGTATCATTAGGTCTACATTGGCATTCAAACTTGAATCATTGTGATGGCTGTGACTGGATGCTGTTTGTGAGTGATTTGAAGTTTTGCTCATAGCTACTGACAGCCAATCTGAGGCAGTCTGTGGGGTGATCATCACTGAGGCGGCTTCTGGTTTTTGATTTGATTATTTTCATTTGTGAGAACGTCATCTCACAGAGCTAGGTGGATCCAAAGTATGCACTCAGTCTCAGGGCACATCCACTGAGGAGAGGAAACCTCTCTCTGCTTATCAGGCCCCAAAAGTCACTGTCTCTTGCTCTGGCACTCAGCTCAATGTCATTTTGCATCTCGACTATCTCCATGTCAATTTCACTGTCATTTGGCAAGTTAAACACTTTCAGCATTTTGGCTGCAACCTGCTCTATGTCAATAGGTGCGAACGGGTTTGACACGAAAGTGCAAACCTCTCCCATGTCATCTAACTCACCAAAACGCCGACTGAACTCAGTTGACAGTTTATCCAGATGAGCACAGTACCATTCAGGCTGAAAAACCTTGTCATCTTCCAGGCCTTGTACCATCTTCTCCGGGTTGGGAAAGTGTACCAGCCTCCCATTCTTCAGTTGTGTCGTCCAAACACCAAGCTTGGCCTTAATATTAATAAAACGTTTTATTAGAGATGCATTCCATCATTGAATTTAATTAATTTGAATGTAAAAACATCACAATAAAAACACCAAACAGAACAGTGTTTTACAATATAGATAACGGTTACCAGTACAACAATTAACAATATCAAAGTAGGCCTACTTCTTAATAGTAAAAAGAACAGTATCCTACCTTGAATCCATTCACTGCGCTGAGCATGTGTGACAGGTTCTGATCCTTTCCCTGCAGCTCTGTGTTGACAGTTTTGCGGTTATGTCTGTCAGAAAGCCCAGGTCCAGCAGCCAAGCATCATCTGACAGTTCTTCGGGTTCCTCGTTCCATGTTCTCAGGAAGGTTTTGATCTCCGGCAGCAAGTGGACAACTCTTTGCAGCACTTTTCCCCGACTCAGCCACCGCACATCAGCATGGAGGAGTAGGTCACCATACACGGCATCGAGCTCTGCCAATAGCGCTTTAATAAGCAGTGCTGGAGCGCTTCTGCTCGAATTGAGTTCACATGTTTCACAACCAATGTCATTACGTGGGACAAGTCCAAAACTTCCCCGCCAAGGCCTGTTGGTGAATCACACAGTGATAGTTGACGAAGTAGGGGAAATCTGGGTCAGTGTGGCATAGCCCAACAAATCCATTCCGCGCATTGCTGGGGCCCCATTGGTTGTAATTGCCACCAGCTTATGGATTGGGATAACGTTATCACTGACATATTTCTTGAACTCATTGTAGATATTCTCACCTCCCGTTCTCCCCTTTAGATGCAAGAGAGTGAGGAAGTCCGCCTTCATTGTAAAATCCGGGAAGGTCATTCTGACAAAAATAACAAGCTAAGCAGTGTCCATTATATCCTGGGATTCATCAAACTGGAGTGAGAAGTATTCATAGTCCATTAAGTCCCGCAACACTTGTCTATCCACGTCCTAGGACAGAGATTCCACCCATCTTGTCACAGTTGTAGGGCAAAGTGGAACACTGTAGAGCGCAGAATTGATTTCTTCCTTATTTTTGAAATCACTGTACATGATCTCTGCTGTGATGGCCATTGCTTCCTTCACAATTTCAGGTGACTCACGCTTGATGAACATTCTGTGGCAGCCTTCTCAAGAGAAGCAGGTTTAGAGAAAAGGCATTGCTGGGTTTTCAACCCCAATTTGAGGTCTTCCACTTTCTTTGCCCGGAGTCTGCTTTTTGGCGGGTAGCTATCCTGGAATTTCAGGTGGGTTTTGGTGTGATGGCGCTCCAGGTTCTCTTTTTTTGCCAACGCTTGTGTTTGACCACACAACAAACAAACACACTTGTCTTTTACCATAGTAAAAATGAACTCCTCCTCCCATTCTGTGTTGAAATGATACGTTTTTGGCTTCTTTCGTGGTCCTGCCATGTTTGCTAGCTGTCGTTTGTTCGCTTTCCTATTTGTTTGTGACAGTTAATGTTGGTTGACGTTCATGCACTAGCTAAAGATCCAGACGTCATCAGACTATGTGAGTGCAAAAGATTTTTTCCCCTCCAAATATACTCGTAGCTTCTAAACTGATAATTTCATTGAGAGAAAGAGGCGTTCGCAAACTGGAACAATTAATAGACAGGGAGGGATCTTTCTGGGATTGACTGGGCATGTCTGAAAGATCGACGCGTTAGTGATCCCTGGTCTAGAGTGTGCCATGGAGGGTTTTAATAAAATTTGTCACAATCCAGAACCAACTGCTGTATTTTGTGCATTTTGCTTTCATCTAATTGACTTTGCATATCCAAAGACATCTTGTTTAAAAAAAAACAAAAAAAAAAAACCTGAAACTAAAGCAAAGGCTCTGTTGACATGTCCTAGTCCTAGTCACCTCTAATCTCCTCAGTCATGAGGCGTGAAAGACGGCAGCAAAATTTGCATCAGGATAAAAACACCCTCCAAACTTCACATCTCCATAAAACAAAAGACATATCATCTGTGTACAAACTTTGGGAGGTTCAGGATTTGTTAACTGACCTTTTAAACAAGCTGTGTATTCATGCTGAACCAACCAATAAAGGAGAAAAAGTTTGGAAACCCATTAAGTCATTGTTTAATGCATAGGCTTGCATTTTCTTTCATGGGGCCGGGGTTAAGTGACAGCCAGTGGACTGTGGACTGCTGAGCCATTACCATAGTTTAGCATTCTCTAAAGTCATTTCCTACAAGGTGAGACTTGATGTAATCATTGCCCTGGGACAGCAGTGGGCTGTGAGAGATAGAGAAAGCTGAGTGGAGGAGCAGTGGGCCACTTGTTCAGCTTAATGAGACTGATCTGAACAGATGGAGCAGGGACTCCCAGGCTGCTCTGACACCAAGTCTCTGAGCTTCATTTGGCTGCTCATCTGTTAAACTCTCTGCAGCTCAGACCTTCAAAATAAAACTTTGTCAGATTCTGTGAGGACTAAGATGACACAACTGCTGTCTGGACTCGCATTACTTTCAGGAATGGGCGACAAGAAACTTCGTAAATTGGATATGATATGATACACATCCTGATCACAGCCCCTCCCAGTTCACCACCAGGCCGTGAGTGGGACCTAATCAATAACCAAACAAAACACAATAGCTTTATATTTCTGTTAAAACACCCTGACTTCCACTGTGCAGAAAAAAGAATAAAATAAAGCACTTTTTACTTGACTTACATTCATCTTAACAAGCATACATCCATTAGCAGCAGCCTCCCTTAAACTACAAAGAAATGATAATAATAAATGCCAGTGAATCACTCTGTAGGAAATGAAAAGCAGAATAGAAAAATAAACAACCTCAAGCTAGTGCCCAAATTCCCAGCAAAAACCTTCTAAACACCTCGGTTCCCAAGTTACAATATCATAGCAGGCTCTTTTGTCTAAAGTGACGTAAGCAAAACACAAGCAAAGATCTAGATGGACAGAAACAATGTGAGTGAGTGCCACAAACTGCTCCAAGTCCAATTTGACACAGTGGTAAAAGACAAGGCACAGGGAATAGTTTGGATTGTCTGCAGAGGCCTGCCAGTACAAAGTTGCAGTCATCAGTGTGTGCTATTACCTGGACTAGTAAAAGCTCTTGTGACTGGCAGGTGTGGAGTGCAACGTTCGTCGAGCAGTGATAACATGCAAAGGTGGCAACACCAGAAACATACCAAAGCATTTGTCAAAGGGTCACAGCAACTGCCGCTCCATCTCAGCACGGCATGTATGTCCTGTTTTAACATTAGCACAATGCATGCAAGACTAAACAACGTATTTGATTTAATACTGACTGAAGTAAATGCTGTACAAATATTTTGTCATTTGATTATTTTTAGACTCTCACTGAAGATGGCATACATCTTTTTCTGTTATCAGAGGCTCAATAAAATTTTGATGTAAGTGAAAACCCAGAGTTTACTTTTTGCTAAATCAAAGAAAGGCATTGATAGGGGAATCGTTAAAGAATTGAATCGATAAGCAGAATCGATAATGGCATCGACATCCATAAAATGGTATCAATTTTCATCCCTACCCATAACACTGTTACACAGGAGTAGCTTTGTTTCATCTGTCATTAAGGAGTTACATTTTTATATCCTGATTATTATAAAAGTACACCAGCGCATAAGGTGAGGTTGTGAGGTTTCCAAAATATTGAGTGTGTGCGTACAACAGGTGCTGCTGAGCACTAAAGCAGCCATGACAGGTTGGTCTCCACGGTCACAGGTGAGAAAAAAATAGGGCTGTCTGTGCATAATATTGACAAAATCAAAGAACAGCCTGAAAGGAGGCCGACTCATTGTCAAAGTACTCGCCTTAGTATTGATTATTTAGGAAACTAATCAGTATCAAATGACTACGTCTTAATTATCAACAGCACAACAGAACAGAAACACGACTTGCCTAGAAAATGCAACATGCTTTGGTCTTTCCAAAGATTTTGTTAGAAGGAGGACACATTTTAACATTAGCTGTCAAAATAAAAAGAGGGAATCTACTAAACACAATGTTCAAAACACATTACAATGGTCCAAAAATAAAGAGATGTTTCTCAAAAGTGTGACAAAGTGGATTTGGTTTAAACCATACCTTTGCTAAAAGTAGAGACTGTATTTCGCCTGCTGTTTCAGATACAAAGACACGACAGCTGCAGCCTCCTCTTCTTTTGAGCTGTTTGTTTTCCTGTCTGCCTCCTCACTGAGATAAATCTTTTCTTCAGACTGTCAGGACACATCTCACAGATATCTTACACTCTTAAATCCTTCCTGTCTGTCAGGTTGGAGACGCCAGAATATGCTCAACTCTTTCCTTCTTTGTTCCTTGTGGAAAGTACCATGGAAAAGCAGTGATTTCTTTAAAGTGTGGGTGTTTCAGTTGTTGGACGTGAATGACACAATGGCCCCATTTTTGTCTCAATATTTCATTACCACCTCATTCAACTAAAATCAAGTTCAGGATTAACTGTGAGCATCATAAACTTCAGTGTATTATTTCACACTTACTTCCATTCAGTTAACTCAGTACATGCCTATCTGACCCTATGGTATCTATTAAAACACACTGTAACAATATGAGGAATGAGACTTCAAGGGCCCTATTGTACACTATTTACAATAGTTTTATTTTTTTTCCATTTCTTATTTTTCCTGATAAAGCAAACATTAGGACAGAGTGCTTGGAGACACCAGCATATCATCATACAGTTTGGTGCCAATCTCAAAATGCTAGAAGACAATAATACTCCTATTTCAACCTCCGCTCAAGCCATCTTCACCTTAGTCCTGCAGAGACCAAATACTTCAGCTCTTCATAATGCGCACTCTCAGATACACAAACTCATACAGTCCATGTACTTGGCGGCCAACGGGTTATCGTTTTCATGGAAAACTTGTGTTTCAAGTTTTGTTTACTTTTTTGTTGTGACCCAGAAGTTGTGACTTGGAGAGAGAGGCTCTCACTAGCACAGTAGCACCCTCAGGAATAAGGTGCAAGAAGGAATAAGAAATAAGAAATATTCCTACATTGGAAAATTGCCCATTATAAAAACACAGTCACAGTGATTGAAAATGTATTTATTAAATAATTTTGATACAAAATCTGCCAAAGTACTAACACATCCTTCCACAGTATTGAACCTACATAACTCTAGTACATGGACCACATGTATCCACATACTCAGAAACACACACAAATTGCAGACAGTTCAAAATACAACCACGTGATCTGTCCGCAAAATAAGTAAATAAAGATAAAAAACATGCTTTTCAGGATGTCTTAAGTTTTGATTAAGTAAGGAAGTGAATGCTGCTGTGCCACATGTGTCAATTTAAAAAGTCACATTTGCATCTGCTGCTCAGAGGAATAATTGCAGCAGATTTAACACCAATCCAAGCACTGGCATAACTCGTGCAAAGACCTGTGTGTGTTTTCTACATTTATAGGAGCAGTTCAACATGCACAGTGTATTGAAGTGGAAAAGCTTAGACCTGAAGCTTCTAACACACTTGCTCACAGGTGCAACCAATTCTTATTCTGAAAGCAGAAGCACTGATTGGTTTGGCTTGTTGCACCCAAACACACCTCTGAAAAATCAACCTCAACCTGTTCAACCTCTCTGTTGCAGTTAGCACCTAGATTTTACACTGTTTAACCACCTAGAGCAATTGGGCATGCCTTAATTCACTTTGCTACATCTGCTTTACACCATGGGTTTTAGTTCATTTAGACAGGACTCAAGTTCTTTGTTTCATTCCTCTTCTATAAACTCTATCTTTCTCTTAATCTTCCTGACTCCTGCAGCATACTCCCTTGTTTACTTCTGTCTTGGCTAGTATGAATTTGAAGTTATTTCCACCATGCTGTTGTTTGATTTAACATATTCTCACAGTTGACTGTCTTTTATAAGCACTGTCACAAACTAATGACCTTATTAGGACTTCACAGTGAGGAAGACTGTCTCAACAATCTGCCTGAGGATCCCCCACGAGTTGAATTACACTTTTTGTTTGGAAATAAAAACCCCTAACAAGTCTGGGCGAAACATTTACATGCAGCTCTTGGATCTGGTACAACTCTCTAGAGCAATGGCGTAATGCGCAGAAACATAAAAACACAGAAACTGGAACATGATATGCTAGCTGGGTGTTGTTGCGGTCACATGTTTTGTCAAAGATCCAAAGGCTGGAGCTTTTAATAGCCTGTAGAGGATGTATCAGTGTATTTATGCTGTAATACACACCAACCAAACAGTCCAACATATGCTCAACAAATCCCCCAGGCTTTCAGTACTGATGGAAACTAGCTCACATTTGGGACTCTCCGAACTGCACCAGCTCTGTGTTTATACAAACTACTCCTATAAAATCCTTGGCAGTCCATATTGTGGTGCTAATAACACCGAACCCTTATCAGTGGATG